AAAAGCAAATAAACCCACCAATAGTTTTTAGGCTGTTTAGCACTCAATTGTTCTTGCAAATCAATAACAGCCTGCTGAGACTTAGCCAACTCACCTTTCAAATTAACAAAAGCATCTCCTGCCACTGAGGCACTTTCTAACTGGCTAATCCACTGACTTAACTGGCTAATTTCTTCACTGGCCTTAGTTAAGTTAGCTTGTAAACCAACATTCCGCTCTTGTAACACTCTAAAAGCCTCGTTTCTTTGTCGCAAAACTTCTTCTTTTTGCTCTAAACTTTGCTGATAAGTCTGCTCATTAGTTTGGTTTTGGGTTTGGCTTTCCGCTAACTCTCGCTTGATATCTTCTAAACTCTTCTCCGTTCCCCGTAAAGTTTCCCGCAAATAATCGGCACTTTTTTGGAAAGTATCTTTTTGTTCTTTTAATTGGGTAATTTGGCTAGTTAAGCCGGTTTTTTCTTGGTTTCAATCGTTTAAAGCAGTTTGTCGTTCTTGGAGCATTCGCTCTTGAATAGCCTGTTTTTCGGCCGTTAAGTCGGTGATTTGTTTTTCTAAGCGTTTAATTTTAGTTTGGCTTTGCTGTTCTTGGGCTTTTAACTGTTCAATTTGTCCTTGTTTTTGGCTAATAGTTTGCTCTTTTTGGCTGATTTGTTGTCGATAATTAGCCTCTTTTTCTTCTAGTTCGCTAACTTTATGGGCTAATTGTTGCAGTTTTTCTAAGAGTTCGATTTCTTTGCGTAAAAATTTAGTGGGCTTGCGGGTAGTATCTCTTAAATTAGCTAGTTCTTGCTTTTTTTGGGCGATTTTAGTAGTGAGGTTAGAATAAGAGCTTTCTTGGCTGGTTTGTGAGGAAGTTTCTTGGTTTTCGTATTCGGCTAGTTGGGCTTTTAGTTGGGTGATTTCGGCTTTTCAAGAATCTAAGAAGCTAACCGCCGATTTTAATCTTGAACAATCTTTTACTACCAAGGTGTGTAAAGTTAGACAGGATTCTAAACCTTTAAGTTTGGTTAAATTATTCTGT